TGGCGGACGCCGAGCGGAGGAGCTCCGCGACGCCCTCCTATTGGTCCTCGACCCACTTCGCGAAATCCAGCCTGTCAGCGTCGGCGAACTCATCGCCCGAGAGGTCCACTGCAAACCCGCGCGTAGCTCGAGCGAGTCAGGATTGCTCTGGAGCACGTCAATGTGCATCACCGACTTGGAGCTCGACCCTTGCTGTACTGGAGGACAGGTGCGCTGATCACAACGCCGCTGAGCCTCAGCCTCCTCGCCCAGGCACCAGTCGATCTTCTCTTGGCACTCCTGCAAGTAGCGCTGGGCCCTCTCCATTTCGTCAATGGCACGACTGAGAGCCTTCGTAGCATCGCGCTTGGCAGCAGCAGCCTGGTTGATCCCTGGCTCGGGAAGCTGCGGCTGCTTTGGCGCGACGGGCTCGACAGACTCGACCTTGAACTTCGCGAGCACCTCTGCTGCCAGCTCTGGCTGCAGCTGGGCTGCAGCCTTCTGGAGGGTGGCGACGGCGGTGGCATCCACGGCAGACTGCTAGGCCCCCCCCGAGCATTGCACTCCACCTCCACGTTTGTCGCCAGCCCCACGACCTCCGGCCACACAGGAAGAGCTGGTAGCTGGAAGGAGAGACTTGCCACACCCGACACAAAGCCCACGACGTGCCAGCAGGCGATCGTAAGTCCAATGACCACAAGCGCACACTGTGTACGACGAACGCTTCCCGCCTTCACCCGCCTTGTTCCCTTTGCCAGCACGCTGCCAGCCGTCGCCATCATCCTCCTTGTGCCAAGGAGATGTCACTATCGCTTGGACTGCAGGGAGCGAGACGAAAAGGGGCTGATGCGCCGCCTGGGCAGCTTGACGCAGCAGAGCGTCGAGAGCACTGGGTCTATCCGCGGACTAGCGGTATCCACTTGTTTCCCTGTGGAACAAACAATTTTGAGCCAAAATGGCAACGGAAGGGGAGGAGGAGGAGGAAAAGGAGGGGGAGGAGGAGGAGGAGGAGGAGGAGGAGGAGGAGGAGGAGGAGGAGGAGGAGGAGGAGGAGGAGGAGGAGAAGAAGGATGAGGGGGAGGAAGAGAGGAGGAGGAGGAGGAGGAGGGGAGGAGGAGGAGGGGAGGAGGAGGAGGAGGAGGCGGAGGAGACCGGGGGAGGGGGGAGGGCGATGGAGGACGAGGATGATGGGGGAGAGGAGGGGGAGGAGGAAGAGGACGGTGGAGGAGAGGAGGGGAAGGAGCCCCCCCTCCCTCATCCCTCATTTCCCCTCCTCCTCCTCCTCCTCCTCCTCCTCCTCCTCCTCCTCCTCCTGGACCGCTGCGCCATGCTCCTCCTCTTCCTAGTCTTGCCGCCTCTCCTACTCGACATGTGCCCCAACCCTCATGCGGAAAATGCTACCGTCCCCACCCGCAAAAGTGGCCCTGCCCCGGCGCGCGCCCCGCCGCCTCGTGGAAAGCCCCGGGTGGGGTCTCGGCGGGGCGTTCGCGCACTGCCGCCCAGCCCCAGAATCCCTGGCAGGCGCCGCCAGGGTCAGGGCCAGAGGGGGAGCGAAGAACAGCAGGGGAGAAGACGCATCGAGGCTGCTACAGCGCTGCGGTTCGCAGCGGAATCCATCGAACGCCGTACCGAGGAAGAGCCAGTGCCCGATGCTCCCCGCCTGGTGAGCAGGAGGCGGGAGCTCTCAGCGGCACGAGGGAGGCTCGGGGCGCGCTTCGCCATCCCAGTGGGGGGAATCGTCCCCGCTGGTCAGGAGCCGCGCTCGCAGTCCAGACCTGCCACCCCGTACCTGGCCCCGCTGAACCTTCAGGTCTGCTCGATGGAGGCCTGTGGTCTGCAATCTCGAGGCCTGCGCAGCGGCCAGGCGCCCCTCCTCTCGTCGCTCGGTGCGGGAGAGGCGCTGGCACCCTGTGCAGCCCCCTCCGGACTGCGGCAGCGCCTGACGCGGTGGAGCTGCTTGCCCCGTGGACCTCACGGGAGGCCCCCGACGGCGGCAGGCACGACAGCCGCCATGATTGCAGGGTGCGTCTGGAATAAGATGAACTCAGGGTCTTGCCCTGAGGATGCTTGCGTTGGGAGCGAAGCCCCTCTCTGGCCCCAGTTCCGCCGCCAAGGTCTACAATCGAGTTTGACGTGGGAGGGCACGCGAGAGGATACAAGACGCTTCACACTGCCACAGGAATGTAGAAGGCATGAGTCGCGACACGCAGGACACAAGGGTACCCGTTATCTGGCAGGGCCGACCTTCTAGTCAAATTCGACTATCCTGCGAAAACGGCGCCCGAGGAACGGCCAGAGGAAGGACCTGAGGAATTCCGAGGCCCCTCCCCGCACCAAAGGGGTCCTCATTCCAGCGCTTTGACCGAGAGTGTGACGAACCGAGCGGTACCCCGTCGTGAGGCGTGGCAGGGATGAAGCAAGAGAGGGGGGAGGTGAGGACGGGGGGGGGCGAAGCGAGAAAGGAAAGCGCAGAGGAAACGGTACATGACTGAAGAGACGGAGAAGCGAAGGAGGGAGGAGAGGAGGCTCGGAGGGAGGGATGATGGAGGGAGGCAGGCGGAGAGGGCGGGAGAGGGAGGGAGGCGCAGGAGGAGGTCGGACATTGGGGGGGGAGGGGAGGAGCGAGGCCAGGCGCGAAACGTGAATCCGCGCGTGTCTGCGCGCCCCTCCAGGCGCCCCAGGCCCATCCCTGTGACACCTGCCCGAGCAGGCACGCGCTGGGGACTGACACTAGGGCCCTGGTGGCCGCCCTGGTCTCCGGTTCCGTTTCCCCATCCCCGCCGCTTCCCCCTTCCCACCACCTCCTCCGCGTCATCCTCCGGGCCTCCCCTGCCTCCTCCATCGTGCCCACGTACTTTCGGACATCCCCCCTACGGCGCCCACCTCTTCTCCTGACCTCGTGGTTCTCCATCCCTTCTCCTCATAGATAACAACTTCCCCCCTGGCACGCCAGACTTGTCGGTTATTCGGGCGGGCCGGGCGTTTCGCCTGGGACTCCCCCATTGCTCATGGCCCTGAAGTTTTAAACATTGGCAGCACTTCCGCAGATGGAAGGGCGGGTGGTTTTCAAACTGTGGCTTTCGCCTTAGCGCCGCGCACACTCGTTGCAAAGATATGTAAGGCTTTTACAGATTGAGGACGGCTCCTTTTCAAAATCTGGCTATCGCCTTAGCGCCGCGCGCATTCGTCTTTTCAGAAAATGCAAGGGCTTCACGGATTGAACGCGGCTCCTTTTCAAAATGTGGCTCTCGCCTTAGCGCCGCGCGGACTTGTCTAAACCATTTGTTAGGATTTCATGGCTTAAGGGCGGTTCCTTTTCAAAATGTGGCTCTCGCCTTGTCGCCGAACGCATTCGTTTGAAACGTGTGCAAAAGTCTCACGGAATGAAGGCGGTTCCTATTCAAAATGTGGATCTCGCCTTAGCGCCGCGCACAGTCATATTCACTCATTGTTGTTTCGCAAACGGTTAACAGATTGAGGACGTTTTTTTAATGTTGCTCTCCACTTAGCTCCGCGCGCATTCGTTTGAAACATTTGCCAGAGTTTCACGGGTCGAGGGCCGTTCCTTTCAAACTGTGGCTCTCGATTTAGCGCCGCGCTCATTCGTTCTGAACATGTGCAAGAATGTCACTGATTCTCATGGTTCACGTATCAGAAAATGTGGTTTGGAAATATACAATATTTTCAGGGTCCAACAGTTATGTCGCTTCGCGGTGTTGAAATCTCAAGAATGGTGCTCTAGCACGATTCAGAATCGCCAAGACCTTACAATCAGGTTAAGTCGTGGCGTTGAAATCCTGAGAATGGTGTTTTGGCACATTTCAAGATGTTCACACGGTTGTCTCCCAACGAAGATACTCCCTCAGTGGAAATGACTCCTTGTAGTGGCCTGCGAAGAGCTTGGGGTGATGAGTCTTGGGTTGAAGCTGGTCCGTTTCCTCCTCCGTCTTCTCCTCCTCCTCCTCCTAATTTGCTACTTCTCTGCTCCCAACCTCCTCCTCCTCCTCCTCCTCCTCCTCCCCTTCCTCCTCCTCCTCCCCCTCCTCCTCCTCCGCCTCCTCCTCCACACTTACACACTATGAGTATACTCCCCTCTCTCTCTCTCTCTCTCTCTCTCTCCCCTGATGACGTCCGGAAAATATCCTGCGCCCTCCGCGTACTCCTCTTTTTACACACGGGATTCCCGGGACATGGATTTTCCATTTTTTAATGTTGCTCCCGCTGGCGCGCTGGTCCCATTACTGCGCCCCTGGTTGTTCTTACTCGTGTTCCCGCTGCAGCGCGGGCGTTTTCGGTCCTTCCAGACAGGCCCCAACTCTAGAAACCATCGGAAGTGATTACGCTTTCGGGATTGATTCGTTGATTTTTTGGCCCGCAAAGACCCCACTTTGGGGCGTCGTCGCTTTCAGGCAATATCAAGCGGGAGCCCCGTTTCTGCTTTGAGAAGACAAGGTTAGAAGCAGAACCAGCGGGTGCTCTCCATCAGCCCCGCCTTGTGTGCTTTTCGGGGAGCCCAAAGAGGTAGACGTGGAGCCACGACTCCAGACTGGCCTACACCTCTCGAAGATGATCCACTTACCCTACAAGGGACCTGGCGCCATGCCATGCCATGCTGCGCGGTGTTGCGTCTTGCGCCGCTGTGCGATGCCATGATTTGCGTCGCGATGTTTTCTGATGCCATGCTTCACTGCGCAATGCCACGCCACGCTATCGTTTGCTACGGTATGCCGTGCTCGTCGACGCCATGCCATGCCGTACTCTACCATGCATCGCGTACCCTCTCGCGATCATTGCCCTGCTCGGCATCCGACAGTGCGAACAAAGAGGATATCTACGCCATGGTAAGGGATGGGAGGGAGGGTATGACGTCAGATATGGCGCGAACACACCTAGATTGTCCTCCTCCCCCTCCTCCTCCTCCTCCTCCTCGTCCTCCTCCTCCTCCTCCTCCTCCTCCTCCTCGTCTCCCCCTCCTCTTCCGTCCTCTCACTGATGCCGCCAGAGGCTCCGATCCGTGGCGCCTGGAGGAAGAGGTACCCCTGCGACGTCATGGACCGCTTGAAAATGTCTTTTGCGTCGTCGCTGTGAAGGATGGCGATGGCCTGGCTGATGGCCTGGGCGTCACGAGAAGGAGGTGTGGGGAGACACTCGCGGGCAGCAGGGATGGGAGCATCGATGGGAGGGGGAAGGGGAACAGGAGGGAGGAGGAGGAGGAGGAGGAGGAGGAGGAGGAGGAGGAGGAGGAGGAGGAGGAGGAGGAGGAGGAGAGGAAGTTCTTCTGGTTCTGCCTGGGCCTCCACGGGCCGCGGGGGGCGTCCGCGCGCGGGGAAAAAGGACATGGGCATGGAGGACGGGCCGGGAGGGCAAAAGAGAAGGGGGGCCGGGAGGGGCGAGGGCGATGGGCCCGGGAGAGAACGGGAGCAAACGGGGCAGGGGGGGAGGAGGGGGGGGGAGGGAGGGGAGGAGGGAGGGGAGGAGGGGGGAGGGGGGAGGGGGGGAGGGGGGGAAGAGGGGGGGAGGGAGGGGGGAGGGGGGAGGGGGGAGGGGGAGGGGGGGAGGGGGGAGGAGGGGGGGAGGGAGGGAGGGGAGGAATGAACGAATGGAAGCCCGAGAGGGGACATTGCGGTTACAGCCTCGATCGAGGCGCAACGCCGCTTCCGCACTAGCGGCGCGCATCAACGCGGGGGCGCTCGTGCACGAAGGGGTCGCGGGCACAAGCTGCGACCGACCTCCGCCCCCCTTCAGCAGGCTAACGCCGAATCGCGCCAGGGGAGACACCGAGCCTGAACGCGCTTGGGGCGAAACCCACTAGAGGAAGCGACAACCCACCCAACCCACAAGAAACGGAGCGTTGCGCAGCGCGCGGACCCCACAAGCACGTCTACCTGTGAACCCACAACGCAGGTCGCAACTCCCATACGGGGCGAAGGATCCCGCTGGGGCGAAGGACCCAACGTGCCCGGGCTCAAACCTGGCTGCGAGGATCTGGGCGGAGTTGGAAAAGGGGGGGGCAGGCCATTCTCCGACCAAGGGTGCGCACAACGTCCACCTTTGGGTTTCTTGACCCAGGAGCCGTGCCGCCTTCCCTCTGACGAGGGCCCGAAGGGACCCCCAGAGGGGGAAGCGCGGGGGAGGGGAGGGGACATGCCTCAACACACATGGGGTCATCGGCAGTACACCGCATGATTGCGCGGTGCCAGCGGGCGCCCCGGCTGCACGGCTTGGCCGCCTTAGCAGAGCACTTGCAAACCGCACTGGCCTGACGGCAGGAGGGAGGGAAGGAGGGAGGAAGGAAAAGGGGGGCGACGGAGGAGGGAAGGGAGGAGGGGGGGAGGAGGGGGGGAGGAGGGGGAGGAGGGGGGGAGGGGAGGAGGGGAGGAAGGGGGGAGGGGGGCAGGGCGCGGGCAGGGTCTTCGAGCGTCTGCGCATGGGCAAGCGGCGTGCCCGAGGGGTGCTGAGGAAGGTGTGTTAGGAATGGCACGCGGAGGGTTCCGGAGAGGTGGGGGATGGCCAGGACAGAAGAAGACAGGACAAGGCAGCACGGCACGGGAGAGGACAGGATGGATCGACAGGGATCAAACAGCAACGCCAGGATACCACAAGGCAAAACGAGTGGAACACGTTAGTTTGGGCACGGTGTGTATATCCGCCAACAACATACTGGAGCGCCCTCAAGTCTTCAATGATTCGCCTACTGAAAATTTGGCCATCATGTCGAACACTTCTCCTCAGCTCGACACCGCGGAGTAAACCTGATGTCGCTGATACCCACATGTTTTAAACAGCAATGTACTCCAGGCCCCAGAACAAAAATAGCCATGGTCCTCATGTCAAACAGTTGTCCCCGAAGCCTGTACACATGATATCCACATGCCGAATGTAGCAATGTGTTCAAGCCCCTGGGCCACACGTTGACGAGATTCCTGCGCGTTCTCGGGCGCTCCCTTCTCTATATACACGGCATGTCCCGATGCCCTGTCAACGCTCTTGGGAACCAGATCTTCCAGCACGCCACGAAATGGTCCCAGGCAGGCCCGTTCTGGAGCCGTCCCAGCGGTTCTGTTCGGCGCCGCGCTTGCGCGGCACCGGCGTTGAACGGGCAGTTTTTGCGGCGGCAACCGTGTTGCCAGGGTGTCCCGCTGCAGGGGTCGTCCGGCCGTCCGCGCCAGGGCGCCCAGCTCCGAAAAGGACAACGCTCTGGCACGCAAGCACCGATATGTTTGTCGTGGGAGGCCCTCGCGCCAAGCCCAAACGCCACGACATGCCTCAAACATCAGCAGAAGAGCCATGGCGCGCGCGTGGCTGCGGTGCGCTCGCCCCTTCAGCCACGGTGCCCGAACCCAAGCGGAACCTGCCGTCGAGCCCCGCTCCCCGGGCGAATCCCTGGCTGATTCCCCGCCCCGAAGCGGACCCGCCCCCCTTCGGCCGAACCACCCCCACCCCAGTCGGCGGCCCCCCCCACCCTGGGCCACTCCTGCAGAGCCTCGGGGGCCCAGGAGACCCCAAAAAGATGGACGAGCGACGGCACGCGCGTGATCCCACCAGCCCTCTGGGCGGAGGGGGCGGCCTAGGGAGGTTCCTCTTCCAACCTCCCTCTTCCCCTCGGGGAGGGGTTGACCCCTCTCCCTACCCTGGGGTCGGGCATGTCCCCGTTCAAGCCGATCTTGGAAGAAAAATTGAAACTATTTAAAAAATATTGGAAGATAATCGGAATTAGTAGGGAAATCGTCCCCAGACTATTTTTTGTTACTATTTTTGAATATTCCTCCTGTAAAGGTACAGGTCTGACTTAAACCTATTCCCTCCCGTGGACCCCCCACTAGCGCTGGAGACCCCCTGGCGCCTCCGGCGCCGCCGCTGGTGCGCTTCGCGCGCCAGGGAGGGGGGTGCAGCGCCGATCCAAGAGATCTGCGCGGACCTCCGAGAGATGATTTGCATGCCGCTTGGGGCTCTTCGACCAAAGACGGCGGCCAGAAGGGCGCGCCACCGCTGGACCGCTTAAGCCTCCTCTGCAAGCAGGGCCCAAAGCGCCCGGAGGATCCCAAGAGCTCCCTAGGGGGGCCCACGAGAAGCCTGCAGGAGGCCTCGCAAGGCCTCCAAGAAGCTCCCAGGATGACCCCAAGAGACTCTCGAGAGGCGCTCAAAGGCCCAAAGAGGCCTCCAACATCCATCGGGTCCGCAACCCAGGCGCGATGGCGGGATGGGCCGAAGGCCACCTTTTGCTTGCAAAGTGGCGCTTGGTGTGCCAGATGTGTGAAGCCTTCTTGGCCCTTCCAAACAAGTTCTGGGTGGAGTTCGGCCAATCCCGCGATGGCCCCAAGAGAGGCCATGATATTACGTTGGGTAGGAAGGGTCTTCCAGTCTCACTTGGCAGCCAGAAGCGCTGCAGCATGGGCAGCCGCTTTGGCACAGGCACGCGGCGAAGCCCAAAGGTCGCAGTGCCTGCGTTTCATGGCGTGGTACACGCCGAACATGATAGAAACTTGGGTGACCCACTCGGCGTCCCACTCATGGGGCGGTCGGTCCAGAGGGAAGCGCATAGCTCGAGTGAGGTCTAGAGGGCAGCGCAATCCGCCAAGAGAGGCCACGATGGCCCCGAGCTGCCTCCGAGACGGTACGCCGCAGGACAGCCCAAGGCACCCTCGAGACGGTCTCAGGACGGCCCACGGGACCGTCCCAGACTGCTCTGTACGACAGACCTGGAGGCCAAACGGAATGCTTGTCGCTCGGTTTTGAATGATCTTCACGTCCTTGCCAAAATTAAAGATTTTCATGCTGATGTGTAAGCCTGGAAGCCAGAGTTAATGATTTCGATGGTCTTGCCTTTTCGGGGTTCGACCGCCGAGGACGGCCCCAGCAGCCTCTAAGATAGCCCAGAGATAGCCACATCAGCCCCACGGTTCCAAAGACGGGCCACGGGGGTCCCAAGACTGCTCAAGGGTTAAGGAGGTTGGCTCCAGACGATAACGCAGAAACCATACTCTCTGGAAAACTTCATTCGATTTTGAAATACTTTCCGATTTTGTGTAAGATCAGTATCATCATCCGTCCTCCGTCGTGGGGATTTCGTGCCAATCGGTGGCGCATCTGATGGCGCCTCGGGGGGGGGGGGCAGGGGGGAGGACCGAGAAGGGGGAGGGGAAATGACAGGATGTAGGAAGCATGCTGCAGGCAGGAGGGGAGGCCGAAAGGCAGGCAGGCAGCTTGTGGCTATGGGGATCTGCAGTGCACCGCGCAACTCACACGATGGCACGTGGCTGTGCCAGCCGATGTCACGTTCCTCCCCGTCGCCGCCCATGACCAAACGAAGCATACGACTGCACGCGTGTCCTTCTCCCCCGAGGGTTCGGCGGGTGGCCAGCGGTAGCGCGCCAGGGCCTTGATCTCCCCCGCGCGCAGGGTGGACCGGGCGCTCCACTCCTCCTTCTTCTCCGCGAGCTGCGCTTCCACCTCGCCGTCCGCAGAGGCAACCGCACGCCACCGCCACCATCCCTGGCCAGGGCCATCCTTGGCCCTGGGCTGGTGGTAGACATTCGGCGGCGCGCCGAGGGGGAAATTCCAAATTCGAGAGTTGAGGCCTTCTTGGGTTCTTTGCGGTTTTCCAGCCTCGGGGTGCTTCCCAGCGGCTGCGCCTTTCCGGGGTGCCCGGAGCGCCTCGCCGAGAGCGTTCCAGGGGTGCCCAGATCGTCCCGAACGGCCGCAGGAAAGCGAAGCCGAGTTATGACCGACAGAACACCAGGCGTCCGAGAGCGTTTCTTGCTGTGGACCGCTGCAAGGCTAGGCTCCCGAGGGGACTAACAAGCAGGAAAATAAAGGAGTATAAATGAAAGCGGCCCCACGCGGCCTACTCCAACCCGAAAACCGCTGCAGGTCAGCACTACACTGCAAGGCCGATGCGACTGGCATGAGCGAGGAAGCTCCTGCCAGGACCAGCCTGGAAGCAGCGCGCATCTCAGACGCACTCTGGTCTTCTCGACACCTCCGAGGAGGCCCGGGCGACGTCCCGGGCTGCGTACCGCGGTTTTCAGTCCTGGCTGCCCGAATCTGCCCGCCGACTCGGACGCACTCCGTGGCTTCGGAGAAGGAGGAGGAGGATGAAGAGAAGGAGGAGGAGGAGGAGGAGGAGGAGGAGGAGGAGGAGGAAGAGGAGGAGGAGGAGGAGGAGGAGGAGGAGGAGGAGGAGGAGGAGAAGGAGGAGGAGGAAAAGGAGGAGAAGGAGGAGAAGGAGGAGGAGGAGGAGGAAGAGGAGGAGGAGGAGGAAGAGAAGAAGGAGGAGGACCCAGGGAGCTCCTCTCGGGAGGCCGGAGGCCTTCTGAACCTCCTGGGGAGGCCCGCCCCCTCTGCTTTCCCCCCTGGGCGCGCCGCCGATCTACCTATAGACCTACACGCACGCACGCACGCACGCACGCACGCACGCACGCACGCACGCACGCACGCACGCACGCACGCACGCACACACACACACACACACACACACACACACTAGAACACCGCGCGCGCGCGCTTCGCGCGCGCTTGGCCTATAGCGCATGCCATGACGTTGTTAGCTGTACGTGCTTTTCGGACCGGCTCGTTCCATGCCTTGCCCCTTCGTCCTCCAGTATTCCTCATACGTCCTTGCTCGTTAACCCTCCAGTCTCTCTCGGTTGTCCTCGCTTTTCGCTTCTCGTTCTTATCGACGGCATCCTCTTGCTTGGGATTATGCGGGGCCTTCGAGCTGTTCCGGGCCGGCGTGGAGAGATGTTGAAAATGGACTGAGTTGGCTTGAAGTGTGGGTGGCATTGGGGATCTTGCTGTTCGGGCTGCCTTGACTGCTTTGGAACTCATGAACCGCTCACCTTGAGCCACTCACCGCGGCGCACCCTGCAGACGTCTCGCATCTGGCTGGCGTCTGCATCTTTTCCCAGTGATTGTCGATGGCGGCCCCTGCCCATGCTGAGTCTCGGGTGCTGCTTATGTGGTGGGAGGGCGGGTGGGACTGAACGAGACGGCCGCCCTACGGAGGGGGTAGCTTGATCACTGTTCCTTATACACCCCCTCCCGCACACGGCCGGCGGCCAACCTGGAACCATGCCGACTCCATGAGGGCCCGCCCCCCACCATCCCTGTCAAAAAACAATACAAACCGCACTCTGCCTCCACATTTGGAGCATGCGCGGCCAACCCGATTCCCCCCTCCCCCACCACCCTGTCAAAAAACAATGCAAAGTACACGTTGGGGCAAAGTCTTACATCATGTTCGCGAGGCCTGCGAGCACTTTGTATTGTTTTTGAAAGGGACGGCGGGGGTGTCAGCAGATTCCCTGCTGCGCGCAGGGCTACCATCCCTGACAAACGACCATACAACATGCACCTCGCGGCTAAATCTGGATTGTGCGCGGCCATCCCGCGATCACTGTCAAGTGGTTTTTGACAGGGACGGCGGGGGTGGTGGCGCGAGGCCTGCTGTGTGCAGGCCCACCAGACACAGTGATGGGAATTGGTTTTCGACAAGGGTGGCGGGGGCAGACATGTTTCCCAATGTGTGCTGTCACGTGCGCAGGCGCACCTGACGCACTCCGCACGTGCCCCGAACGTGGCGCACCTGACGCGGCTGGAGTGTGCGGCACACCTGGCGCACTCGGAGCACGTGGCGCATCTGGCGCAGCAGGCGAGCCTGGCACGCTCGGGCCCCAGGGGTGCCTGGCGCGCGTGGCGCCCCTGGCACGCGTGGCGCACCGCGCCCAAGCGTCGCGCACCTGGGGTCAGTTTTGGTTCCCAGTAGCTGCCCATCCAAATACGACCGCTGAACATGCTCAGGCTCGGGTGATACTTATGTGTTGGGAGAGCGGGTGGGAGTGAGCTAGACGGCTTGCGAGCGGGCATGTAGCTTGACAACCCCCCTACCCCCTACCCTGAGTCTGGAGGGCGGGCGCCGCGAAACGCTCCAGAGTCTGAGATGACCCACTATGGCCCCAAGAGGCTGCGGATAGCCCAAGGGAGCCTCCAACATCGCACAATGTATGACCGAAGATGGTTCAACATACATCATGTCTTGCCTCCAAGAGGCCGCATGACCGCCACAAGGTGGCTCCAAGTGGGGGGGGGTCCTCCCAATGACATCCCCGACAGCCCCCAAATCATTCAAACGCATCAGCGTGTGCTCCAAAGGTTTGTGAAGTGTCGCCCCTGCGCTTCCGATAGGCTTCTGAGGCCGCAAGATGGCTCCAAAATAGCCCAAGATCGCCTCGGGAGGGCAACAAGAAACGATGTGTCTGGCTCCGACGTGGGTGCTACAATTGATGGCCCCTTTTTTCTTGATGGCCCCAAGAATATACACCACCACAACCACCACGTTGATTCCTCCTCCCTCCTCTACCCTCTTCTTCCTCGCTTCTTTCCTGGGAGAGGGAGGGGGTGAGGGAGGTGGTGGTGGTGTATGTGTGTGGGCCCCGACAAATTCCCTTCTGGCTGACCCTGTGTCTGCTCGGGATGATCTTGCGCTTCGATTTGACAGCTGCCCCCCCTATTTGTTCCACCGCCTGTTCCTACATCTCCCTGGTCAGGGCAGCTCGCCTGGGCACCGATCCTGGATGGCCCGGCGGGGACACACGAACCGCCAGTACGGCTCAGTTCGAGGTGAGAAGGTGGAGAAGTGCACAGGGAGATGCCTGGGTCGTGGTGATGCCGTGGGAGGGGGGGGGGGGGGGGGGGCGAACCCCCAAACACTGGCGCTCGAGCTCGGCCAGGATCGGTACCCTATACAAGACGGGGCGTCTGGGCCGAGGAGCACTCAAAGACACTAAACCAGCACTGGGACAGTCAAATATATCCTGTAAGACATGTCGGCCCCAAGTGGCAAAGTCTCCTGTTCCGGCGGTTAACCACTACATGTTGCGCGATGAATTTCCGGAGCACATCCAGACCCCCATCAGAAATACATATTTTCTTGATGGGGATCTGCAGTCCACTCCCAAGAAACCAGGGCTCAATCCGTGCAATTGGCCAGCTTGGTATCATTCGGAAAGCGACCAATCGGCCCATCCGAGCAATTACTTAGACTCTACGCTACCAACAAGCACACATCGCTTCATTGCTGTATCAGACTGTATGAGCTGGCCCGTGCAAAGTCATGTAAAACCAGGGCGTCGCGCCATGAGAGACAACAAAGGCGGCATCGCACCTCCATTCGAAGTATCGCAGTTTGTTGCACACCTGCCACGTGCTTCTGCCACGCCAACTCCCCTCGATCATGTATCGCTTCCTGTAGAGATCCTCCGCCTTTCCTACATCTGCAGCCTCCCATGGAACCTACGCAGCACCTAACCATCTGGCCTGCTGGATGTACTTCTCGTCGTTCGCGTGCTGTGTCCCGAGATCCTCGACCCGCGACATAGCCTCTTCCCGCGACATGGATTTGGCCCCGTTCTCCTTGTCCATGTTGGCGAGGTTCTGCGGACGGTCCAGCAGCAGCGGCAACGGCAGAGGCCCAGGAACTGGAGCGAGGGGCGGCACCACTTGCTGGTCAAAGCATGGAGCAAGAGAAGTACAGCTGGCCCGTACCAGAAGGATACGCGATAAGGATGCAAGGGCCTTGGACGCCCATTACGAAGCTTTTCGAGCGGGGCGCGGCCAACGAAGGTGGCGACGAATGCAAGTGTACCCTTGGGAAGGTTGACCATCCTCACTATGCGGGTCGACTGTAGGGGGGTGAGCAGGAAAACCACTGCCAAGAGAGGAAGGCGGACAAGAGCAGGAACGAGAAGAGACGGAACCCGTACAAGGACAAGAGAACTCCGCACCCCTCGCGGAGGCTGTCCCGCAAGGGCGCGCGACCACAAAAGGCAGATGAACACGGCAACGGGCTCATGGTAACGCTCGGCGTTGTCACAGCTCCTCCGCTGCGAAAAGAGAGTAAACACACACACTATAAGCGGGCAAAAGGGCGATGCACACATGATGTGCCAAGCGGCCGGCTTTTGATCACGGCGTTGTGGGGTGCAAGCGCAGTTGTCACGAATGCGAAGCAAGTTCGTGCCGCGCGCCCGCGAAGCCCTGCCATGAGATTCGTGCGTACCTCTGCGCTGCGTTCTCCCCTACTGGCTGCTTGTGGCGAGACTGGGGAGTTTCCGGAGCAGCTGGAGCGAGCCTCGCGCGCGCGGCTCTGTGCAGGCGCGCTCCGCGAAGGCCTCCAGAGTGACGACGCATAGGGTAGCAACTGCAGGCGACGAGATCGTAGAACACAACGGCGGGAACAAGACGGGGAGGCGGAACCGGGAGGAAGAGGTCGACGCAGCGGCGGGGCGAGGCCACGGATGAGGAATTCTGTCCGGATAGGAAGCAGCGGCAAGAGCGGGCAACAGTACCAGCATCAGCAACTACCTCCTTCTGTGTAGTAGTGTGGATTCATGCGCACATAGAACGAAAGGGACATACACATAATATGTATATATATGCATACAACGTGCATATATATATATATATGTGTAAACACATCTCCGCTGGCCCCCTTGTGGGGCCACCAGGCTGTAGGACGAGGTTGTCTCCGATGTTTCTCCCCACGACACCCCAAAACATGTACAAGAGGCTTCAGAGCCACAACCCAAGCACGGTGTCGGGATGGGCCGAAGGCCCCTAGGATAACGCCAGCGTCTCAATATGCGCTGATGATTCCTATGGGCCCCCGCAGGATGTTCCCAGGTGCGCCAAGGCAGCGCCGAGACGCACCGACGCGACTCTGGAATATCCGATTATGATAAAGATGGGACCAACGACGGAGGGGCCGGCCCTTACGGATATATATATATATATATATATATATATATATATATATGTGTGTGTGTTTACATATACATATATATATATATATATATATATACATCTACACATGCACATAAATGTATATATGTGTGTGGATGCATATGCATGTGTGTATGAACGCGAACATGCACATATGTGTACATGTATACCCACATCCGGATAACATGTGCGCGTGTGTATTTGGAAATGGGGGGATGTTGGAGTGAAGCGGAGACTCCCCACGAGGAACTCGGCCTGGGTTTCGTGAGCGTGCCGTGCGCGCGGGCGGGAAGGAACTACTCGCGTGGGCGCGAGGGGTGTCCCCGCCACTGGTGGGACGAACTCATAGAAGAAGACCCTCCTCCCGTCCGGTCGGCGGATTGGGCCCGTTCTGTCCCGCGGTTTTCCCGCGGCTGTCTTGTGGTTGTCCTGATTACTGTCCCGATGGTTGTCCCGACCGTTTTCCCCACGGTTATCCCGACGGTGTTCGCGTTGGTAGATTCGTTGACTGATCGTGAAGTCGATAAATAGAACGAGAACTAGTGATACCCAGATATGGATAAAGAACATGTGTGTACACGTGCTTCAGACGAGTGGAATGTGAAGCGGGTGAAAGACCGATGAAGGTTGTCCAGATGTTTGTCCCGTCGGTTGTCCCGATGGTTGTCCCGACGCTTGCCCCGAAGCTGGACTGGTGGGACAGGGAGTGAGGCCGACACGCAGGCATATCCACACACATATGGGTAGCATGATCCATCGATTGCTACATTCATAGGTGCATAGATAATTGGGTGGTGAACGTTCTGACCAGGCCGGGCATGGGTTAGCGGTGGCGGGGGCGTGGATCGCCCAACCTGCCGCCGCAAACGACGGCCGTCACATCCCCGCCAGGGCCGCGCGCTCACGACCCTGGCGGCCTTCGAACAACTCGCAAAACAACTCGTAAAAACTAAAGCCTCATAAACTAAAAACTCGTAAACACTCGAACTAAAACTCGTAAAAAACCTAGCCACTGTCCCTCGTAAAACCTAAACCGTGGAAGCCATCCGCCTTGACGGCCGGAGGCGAGGGAGCCGCGCTCCCGTGTAGGTGTTGGGCACTGGAGCCGCCGCCGTGGGGCCTTGCAGCCACGGTCCCTCGATAAGACTGTGCGCCAGAACCCGGCTGTCTTGAATGCACGAGGTGCTGGGCCGCTGGGACTACTATCCCCAGTGAATATTGCACACTGGGACCGACGCCATGGGCACTGGAACCACCGTCCATCGTCACAAGTGAGCGTTGGAGCCCATCCCTCTTGAAGGCGTGAGGCGCTGGAACCACTATCCCTCGAAAATATTGGGCGCTGGAACCTCACCCTGTTGAGTGTTCTTCACACAAATGTGTTGCGGGGGGAAGGGTGGGAGACGGGCCTGGGGTGTCCTAGCATTGTAGCCCCGCCTCGTTACCAAACGGGGCCTGTTCGCACGCGCTGGTGCGCGTGCGATGTCTCGATCGGTCGGGGTCGGTCGGTCGGTCGGTCGTCGCTCGTCGTCGTCTCGGTCGCTCGGTCAGTCGGTCGGTCGGTCCCGTCGTGGGTCGTAGGTGTGTCAGTCGGTCCGTCCGTCGTCATCGTTCGTCGTCGTCTCGGACGGTCGGTCGGTCCGTCTGGTCGTCAGTCGTCGGTCCGTCGGTCCGTCGGTGGCCATCGTTCGTCGTCGTCTCCGTCGGTCGGTCGGTCGGTCGGTTCGGTCGTCGGTTGTCGGTCGGTCCGTTGGTCCGTCGCTCGCCGTCGTCGGTCGTCGTCGTCATCTCGGTCAGTCCGTCCGTCGGTCGGTTACTCGGTCGATCGGTCGTCGTCGGTCCTCGGTCGTCGGTCCTCGGTCGGTCGGTTGGTTCGTCGTCGTCGGTCGTCGGTCATAACGGTCGTTCGTGGTTCGCGCTGCCTCGCACTCGCTGGACCCGACGCCATGGCACTCCCACAAGTCGCGCCTCTAGGGCCAAACTGGCTACGGATGCAATGATGATGGAGACATGACACATGCCTCCCTGAAGCCTTCGGTACGTGCATATGCGCTCTAAAATGTCACTACCAACAAGATTCACCCGACTGTAGTAAGATCGACTGGTAGATAGTAAGGTCGATCTGTGTATGGGTAAATCGAGAAGTAGATACGTGATGAGATCAGTAGATGTATAGACAGTGTGGTCGACAAGCCGATGGTTGTCCCGCTGGTTGTCCCGCAACGCAGGTTGACCATATGTGTATATATATACATAGAGAGAGAGAGATAGAGAGAGAGAGAGAGAGAGCGAGAGAACACAAACAAATAGAAACAAACAAAGACGAGAAACGCCCAGAAGAACCCCCCCACATGATTTTCGCCCTCCCCTGCTGCGCCACGGCGGCCGTGCGATGCTATGACCCTCCCCCTCCCCCTCCTGTCCCCGCCCCTCCCTCCATCCAGCCCAAGTGGGACGCGGGAAGCCCCCGGGGGCGCGGGAAGCACGCGGGAAGCCCCCGGGGGGCGCGGAGAGTCCTGGGAGACGTGAGAATTTGAGTTCTGGGCCCCTCCCCTCCCTCCCTCTCCTCCTCCTCATCCTTCTCCTCCTTCTCCTCCTTCTCCTCTCCCTCCTCCTCCTTCTCCTCCTCCTCCTCCTCCTCCTCCTCCTCCTCCTCCTCCACCTGCCAGCCATCCCCCCGACCTCGAAGAGGGGCTCCTCCCCGCGGAGCGGCCCTCGCTGCTGCGCCCTGGGTGTGCGGGGGGCCGCGGCGACGGCCGCGCGCTCTGCAGCGGCGGCCGCCCTCGGCCCGGCCTCGCCTTGAGGGGCGCCCCGCCAGAGCCGTGGGGCACTCGCAGGGCTGGTGCCGGTCGCGTCGGCGCGGTGCCGACCCTGACCTTCCAGAGAGTTATTGTTTAGCACGGGAGGCCTAAAATTCTAAAACAACTAAACGAAACAGCAAAAAAACAAGACATATAATAGCTCTGGGATAGGTTCCCGGAAAGGGCCTGAGCCCAGGGTTCTCTTTTAGTTGGTTTCCCCTTGGTTTTGACGGCTGTAGGGCCGGCGAATTTCTTTTGCGATAAATAACGAGGTCGCGTAGGGCCGGCGAATTAAAAATTGAGGATGTCCCTAGCGAAACGCTAGTTTTTCAGAATTTGTTGAGGATGTCTCGAGCGAAACGCTTGTTTTGTGTGATAGATTGTCTTCTCCTGGGGACCAGAATTCAGAGGATCTCTGAAGTAAAATGCTTGTTTTCACGTGCCCAGGTCTTGAGGATGTCTCGAGCGAGACGCTTGGTTTCACGCCTCCAGGTGGCCCAGACAGATGTCTAGCATGAGGATTTGTTGAGGATGTCTCGAACCAGAGGCTTGTTTTCACGTGTCCAGGTCGCCCAGGCGGATGTCTAGCATGAGCATTTGTTGAGGATGTCTCGAGCGAGACGCTTGTTTGCACGTGTCCAGGTTGCCCAGGCGGATGTCTAGCATGAGGATGTGCTGACAACGTCTTGAGCGAAACGGGTGTTTTCACGTGTCCAGGTCGCCCAGGCACAGCACAGCCCTCGGCACGGTACATCAATATCGATACCCTTAGCATTGCAGCCTGGCATGTTGCCTGGCACGTTCCGCGGAGCGTCCCGTGGCGAGTCCCCCTGGCACGTCCCTCGGCACGTCCATTGGCACGTTCCGTAGCGCGTCCCCTTGGCACGTCCCGCGGTGCGTGCCCATGGCACGTCCCCTGGCACGTCGCCTGGCGCGTCCCTTGGGACGTTCCGCGGCGCGTCCTCTTGGCATTGTTCCCTCTGTCGATTAGTTCTGGGGCAGCTACCTCTGCTCAGGCAGCTCGAGCTTACGCTCCAGATCAGTTCGGTGAGGACTCGGATGCCAGGGAGGACTCGATCCACAACGCTATATAGAGCACAATCGCGGCATGGCACATCGCAGTTCAGCACGGCGTAGCACAGCACAGCCGTCGGCACGGTACATCAAGATCGATACACTCAACTATGCACCTTGGCACGTTCCTTGGCGCGTTCCGTGGCGAGTCTACCTGGCACGTCGCGCGGCGCGTCCCCTGGCACGTCCCTCGGCACGTCCATTGGCACGTTCCGTAGCGCGTCCCCTTGGCACGTCCCGCGGTGCGTCCCCATGGCACGTCCCCTGGCACGTCGCCTGGCGCGTCCCTTGGGACGTTCCGCGGCGCGTCCTCCTGGCATGTTCCCTCTGTCGATTAGTTCTGGGGCAGCTACCATCTGCTCAGGCAGCTCGAGCTTACGCTCCAGATCAGTTCGGTGAGGACTCGGATGCCAGGGAGGACTCGATCCACAACGCTATACAGAGCACAATCGCGGCATGGCACATCGCAGTTCAGCACGGCGTAGCACAGCACAGCCCTCGGCACAGTACATCATCATCGATACATTCAGCATTGCATGTGCCCGTCGCCCAATCAGGTGTCTTTGAAATGTTGCAACGCATTACATTTCTATATGCCTTTCCGGGTTCGTGGGTCGATCATGTTTTTAAGTCGCGTGCTATTCGTTAGCCCTCCTGGAAGGTCAGGGGAAGGGCGCGCGCTGCTCCAGGTGCGGTCGTCGCGCACGCCGCGGCGCGAGCCATGCGCAAGGGCCGGGGGACAGGTCGGCCCCCATCCCCCGACGTCGGTGGGGGGCTCGCGCGGGCCAGGGATCCAGGGCCGCACCCCTGGGGATCTGCGCTGGGGGGCGCCATCCTCGGCAGGGGTGCGTCCGAGCAGACCCCTGGGTGTGTATCCCCAACCTCCTCCTCCTCCTCCTCCTCCTCCTCCTCCTCCTGCTCCTGCTCCTGCTTCTCCTGCTCCTGCTCCTGCTCCTGCTTCTCCTCCTCCTCCTCCTCCTCCTCCTCCTCCTCTCCTCCTCCTCCTCCTCCTCCTCCTCCTCCCCCCCTCCTCGCGTGATTTATCATCCTTTTTCGTCCTGTCTATTTCTCTTCCTCCTCTTCCTCCTCCTCCTCTCCTCCTCCTCCTCCTCCTCCTCCTCCTCCTCCTCCTCCTCCTGGTTCCCCTCCTTTTCGGAGCGGCCTGGTTTTTATGGAACCGTTGGGGATTCGGGGTGAGAGATGCCTCGTGGCGCGACATGCCAGGACGGTATGCCACTCGGCTGGACCCGCGGGAGTCGGGGATACGAGCTCTCGGCAGCTTCGAGGCCCTCGATCTTGCCATGGGGGCTCCGTGCCGCCAAGATCATGAAGCGGCGTTGGTCATCCTGTCTTCTCGCAGGTGAGGGTTCGCGGCAAGGGAGCCCAAGAGTGCTGATGTGCATCAGCTGTCTCAGTGAGCGCACGCAAGTCGAAGTGATTGCTCGAAGGGTTGGGTGGTGGATTTCCCAGCAATCCTTGACTCGCTGCCCTTCTTCTCTTGTCCGTCGCGCATACAAAGATGGCCTGCATCTTGCTTACGAACGTCCAGTATGAAACAATACATCCTTCTCGTCTGCTTCGGTCGTCGTCCCCATTCATGCCGTCACGAAGGTGATGAAGTATGACTGGCATAAAAGTCATACTTTGCCATGGCCAGGCACTTGTTGGGAGGTGGAGGGGGAGATATGACAAAAGCCAAAGCAGCGCCCTGGAAAACTGTCGCGAAGCATGTTCTTTGCCGCTCATTGTTTACTCGCCCATCGACGTGAACGCCGACCCCTTGGTGTCATGCTCGTTCCAGCAAGTCCCTTGCCCGGGCAGACTGCCAGAGCGCACGACGGGGAGCCTCTCCTCTAGCCGAGAACGCCCCTGCTCAGACCAATGCTAGGCGCACGCAGAACCTCGCGATCGAGCAGAGGAACGTCCATTTCCGTGTGAAGCTGCTCACGGCTGGGCACATTCGTTAGCGTGTCGCTCCTCTGGCTCCGGCCCGCCACGGTCCCGCGGGACACACGCCGCTCCACATACCGGCCCCCAGGCGTCCGTGCCCCCAAGTGCTCCGAGCATCCGTCCCGCGGAGCGGAGCGACACGCTGTCCGCTCGCAAGGCACAGCGTGTCGCCAGGGCCGCCGTCGCGACACGCGGAGCACAAGTTCCTGACCGTAGGTCTGCCGAAGGCCGGCGCCCCGAACGTCACCGTCTGAGCGCCGGGCCATCTGTGCGGCCTCCCTCTGCGCCCCCTTCGACGCCATCAGCGCCGCATGGCTCTCCTCAGGGGGCAGGGGGAGGAGCAGGAGGAGGAGGACGACGGGGATAGGAGGAGGAGGAGGACGACGACGGGGAGAAGGAGGAGGAGGAGGAGGAGGAGGAGGAGGAGGAGGAGGAGGAGGAGGAGGAGGACGACGACGGGGAGGGGGAGGGGCAGGAGAAGGAGGAGGAGGAGGAGGACGACGGGGATAGGATTGGTGGCAGCCTATATCAGTCCAGATGATGGCGGACTGGCGGCACATAGCGTCAAATAGCGGTTGCCGCGTAGGGGCAAATAGCGCACACGCCCCACACCGACCGTCCACCAATCACCCCCTAGTAGCCGCGAGTGGCAGCTAAACGAAAAAAACCTTCGGTGCAATTCAAAAATTCAAGGCTTGCATAATGACGGACCTCAGGTCATGATGCGTAAGAGACCATAGCGTCGACGTGTTTTTATTTCCGAGGGGAGCTGATACAGGAGAAGGTTTTCTGCCCACGGGGGGCACTCCCGGCGAATGTACAGATGGGAGCACTGACGCCGCTGGGCGGCACTCGGAGGAGCAACGATACAATAAGATGAACTCATTAGCCAGCCAGGGCCGACAGTCGAAGAAACGTAAGACTCGAATTTGGAGGACTCAAATTGGCCCGACGCGACCGTCATAGAAATGGCAAGACCCAACTTGAAATTCTATGCAAGTCCCCACTGCAAACATTTCACGAGAAATGGACTGCCCAAGCCCAAGGCGGGCCCGTCCAAAAGCGTCAGCAAATCCGAGCTCCGGCGAATTCGGGTCGTATGATTTCCCGAGACTGAGGATGGTCAAAAAGACAGAGGAGGTGTGCCGACGCAGCGAACATCGCTTAATCAATCCATACCCCCACTGGCCTGGCCTTGGCCCAAAGGGTACGTTACGCAAGTTTTTCGGTGTATTCTACGTTGTGCAACTTATATGGTGCGATTTGTGTGGTGCTTATGTGGTGCAACGTATGTTGGGCACTATAAGTTAAGCAATACATGGGAAGCAGTCAACGTGGTGCAATATAGGTGGTTCAAGCTATGTGGTGCCAACTATGTTGTGCGACCTACGCTTCGAAAACAAAGTGGTACAATAAATGTGGTGCGATCTACGTTGTGCAAAATTTGTTGTGCCTTCTATGTAGTGCGATAAATATATATATATATATATACATATATATATACACATATATACACACATATATACATATATAGATGGCGTTGGCTGGTGTTTTTCTGTGGCCGCGCTAGCCCGCGCATGCTCGCGCGCGCAGCGGCCAGCTAGTGCGGCGCGACCGGCGCGGCCGCGGTTGATTTGACCGCTGGGCAATTCCCAGCGGGCACTTAGTGCGAGTCGGTGGCTTGGGCGGGCGCGGTAAGCATGGCGACGCCGACAACGGTAGACACGATGATGAGAGTAGCGATGATGGTGACGATGGTGGCGATGACGAACACAAGGCCAATGATGGCGCCGATGTTGATCGCGCCCGCCGATGACGATGTTGATGATGTCCTCGCATCGGCTGTGGAAGTGGAAGTCTTCGAAAGAATTCGACACGCACGCGCGGCCGACGCGCGCGCGTGGCCCGCGTAATATCATTCGGCACGGATTGTGCCCCTCCCAGTACACGCGCGAGCGTTCGAATGAGTTCGACATTCGGCGCGAGAGGCCCGTTTTTTGCAGAAGTTGATGAACATATTGGGAAACCTTTAGTTTTCTCGAGAACCCGCGAGACCGCGAGCGCAGGATGAGCTTGAAAACTGGTGTTGCAAAGACACGTGTTTTGATATGTCTTCGAGGCGCTCGTTTTTGAAATCCTTGCGAAGCCGAAGGTTTTTGAAGAACTGGGGCATGGGCGCGCGAACATCGCCATTTTTTGCAAAAGGATTCTTGCGACAGCGTTCGCGTCCACGTGTCGCTGATGAAAGATTTGAAGGATTTCGACACGTGCGCGCGGCCGACGCGCGCGAGTGGACCGAATGGTATTATTGCGCCAGGATCGCGCTCCCCTCCCACGCAAGCGCGCAAGGGCACTCGAATGATTTCGACAAGCGCGCGAGAGGCCCGCGTGGTCAGATTTGACGACCATGTTGAAAGACCGATGGTTGTCGTAAGAACTCGCTAGAGCGCGCCCACGCATTTCAAAATTGGAGGAGGGGAGCACTGATTTCTGAGGGGTGTTCGGGAACCTCGATCTTAAAATCCTTACGGAACCTGAGGTTTTCGAATGATTTCGGCATGCGCCCTCGACGACGCGCGCGTGTGGCCCTTGTCCCATGTTTCACAAAACGGATGTTTGGAAACTGATGCTGTTTGGTAAACGATTGCGCGCGAATGGTATGATTTGACAGGGGTGAGGGGGCGATTATATAAGTTCATTCGCAAAGTGAGCGATGAAGCATAATCCTGTTTAATTTGCAGTGTCCCAGGAGGAACCGACAATTCCAGGGGGAGGGTAGAAGCTATATTCCTTTTAGAAACGGGGGCCTACGTGGTGCACACTGTGTAGTGCAAGCATTTGTTTGTGCAGGCTACGGGGGGGCAACGCTTGTTGTGCAATCTAGTGGGGGGCAACTTATTTGGTACAATCTAGGTGGGCGATTTCGGAAACCCCGAGCCCACATACGCTTTCCTCTCTTGGGGGCACAGCTTTCCCTCCGCCGCTCTCCGCCAGCCTTCCGCCGCCCTTCGCGGCAGAAGAGATGACATCTCCTTCGATCCTCGACGGCGAGGCGATGTCTGGAACGCATCATACGGTGCCCTCTTGTGTTGTGGATGCCATGACAGTGGACACTCTAACAATCCGAACACTGGATTAAAGATGTGTTTGGACTGTGTAAAACATGTTTAAAACATGCTTAGACTCGTTTTTTTCTTGAAAAAACATCTCTAAAACATGTTCGAAACATCTTTTAGACACCTGGGAATTATTTGGCAGCTTGTTTCCTCTTCATTAACCGACTTGCACAACTCTTGTGCCGCGCGATCGAAAACCTCCAGGCCGTTTGGCGCAAGCGCCAACCAACCGGACGGGGCGCCACCGAGGCGACCACCAGGGGGGGGGCTTGACGGCGAACGCCCGGAGACGCCGGCCGACGCACGGGGGGACCACGATCGGGCTGGGCGAAAGGGGGGGATAGCAAAGGGGGGGATTGAGAATCAGCTCGCGTAGCTGTTTTTCCCCGGCGCCTCCCGGCGCTGGAGACGGCCATGTATCGAGGAATGGGCCCCTCGGTGGGGCCGAAACCAGCTGCACGCAGCAGACTTCGTAACCCCCCCTTTCCCTATCCCCCCCTTTCGTCCGGCCCGGCACGAGGCGCCCCCCAGGCGGACGCCAGGCGCACACCCAGAAGTGCAGGCCAGGCACTCTTGCCCGTCGGCGGCGAGGCAGAAGTGCTGCTCTGGCGGGCGGGCGATCGGGGCAGCCGATACGCCAATTGGCCGGCGTGCAGGAGGGAGGAACAAGACAGGCAGGGCGGCCGCGAAGGACGGGAGGAGTGCAAGCCAAACACGAAGCCCTTAGTTCGGGCACCGTGTGAGACAGAGACGTGCAGAACGGGTCACGCGGAAGAGGAGGCGGAGGAACGACGAGGAGGCCGACGCCGAGAAGGAGGAGGAGGAGGAGGAGGCACGATGCGAAAGTCCCCTGGCACTCCCCTCTCAAGATCGAGCGCGCCCCGACCAGGCCATAGCACCAGGTGCTGGGCGGCTGGCGCAGAAGGCCGAAGAACCAGCCTCACTCTGAGCACCCCGACAAGCGCGAACCCTTGACTAACGAGCCTGAGGATTACCAGCCTGGAACATATCCCTATCCCTATGTTGGGCACCTCCTCATCACGATGCCAATCTTAGGGATTCCCTTATTTTTTGAGGGCGAATCCCTAAGATTGTCATCGCCTCTTGGCGTGCCAATCTTAGGGATAGGGATACGTTCGAGGCTGGTAAGAGGAAGGGATCGGGCAGGGCGGGGCCGCCCAGTAAACGAAGAGGGCTGCGCAGCAAGCGCAGATCATCAGGGCTAGGGTGCCTTTTGGTCCTCCCCTGGTGGCGGCGGCAAGCGAAGGCAAGATCCGTCAGCGTCGAGTCGAGTCGGAAACTCGAACTGTCGACTACACGCAAGACTCGCCATCGCTTGGACGTCCATTCCCTGTGCTTTTTTCGGTTTCGTGCGTGGTTTTTTCGCCAAATGATCAAGGATGCTCCTCGATTGTCTTCGCCGAAGGAAAAATGCACACGTCCGAGCGATGCCAAGAAGAGTGACACTGGGTAAGAGTGACCTTTGGTGCGCGGCTTTCTGGGGTCCGCGGGGAGGCCAGACCTGGGCGCGAAAGCCGCTGCTGCCGCTTCGTCTTCAGCCATCTGGGGACCATCTGTGCCCGCGCCAAAGGTCACTCCGGCGAAAGGTCATTCTTACGTCTAGTCGAAATTGAGTCGAAAGGAGCATCGGATCAGACCTTAGCATTTTCTTAGGGTGGAGGGCTCAGGGTGAAATCAATTTGGGCTCTTGCAACTCGGAATCAATCCGTCTTGTGATTCACCTTGTGCAGATTCAAGACTCGAAACCCAATCGAAACAGCGTTTCAGACTTCACCCTTTGCCCTCCACCCAAAGAGAACGCTTGGCAGACCTCACCGGCACGGAGTCGACATCAGATCGGCTCGGCTGCGCCAGGATCCGCAGCAGCGCCGTGCCAGCACCTCGGGCCGCACCGGACCGTCGGGGGATCCCTCGGGCCGCACCGCGCAACGTCGGCGCAGCGGAGCCCCATCGGATCGGGCCGGCAGGAATCGGCATCGCTTACCAGCCTGGAACGTATCCCTATCCCTATGCTGGGCATCTCCTCATCACGATGCCAATCTTAGGGGTTCCCCTATTTTTTGAGGGCGAATACCTAGGATTGTCACCGCCTCTTGGCGTGTCACTCTTAGGGATAGGGATACGTTCGAGGCTGGTAGATCGCATCGGCTCGGCCGGGATGAGATGGACCCGGGAGGGCCCGGGGGGGCTGCGCTCCGTGGCTGCCGCCTCCTTGGCGGCGGCCTGCTCCCTGTTCTTGGTGAAGGTCTCCAGCAGGCCGGCCAGGACGTCCTCCGCAGGCCGTGGCGCACCGCTGCGGCCCCCCGGCCCCATCGGGGGGCCCAACGCTCGGGCGGAGCGCGGCCGAGCACTTCTCGGCGCGCGCCGCGGGCTCCTGCTCTGTTCCGTGCCAGTGGACACTCGCGCCCACCCCTCCTCCTCCTCCGCCTCCTCCTCCTCCTCATCCTCCTCCTCTGCCTCCTCCTCCTCCTCCTGTAACACACGGCCAGCTAAACGTCCTCCTGGCGGGCCGAAACATCCAAAGCGAAACAGATCTGCGCCTACGCTGCCCGCTGCCGCGAGAACGCGTTGCGACGCGCGCCGAAGTCCCGCTGGGTGATGGCGGGCAGTCGGGCAACGTTCTCTCCAATCTGCGACAAGAGCCTAACGGCTACATTCGCGGCCGGGTCGTCGACTGTGCACCATTGGCTGACCGCCGAGGACATGTGTCGCTCCAAATCACGAGCAAGCATCGTCGGCGCGAACTTGATACATCTCAATCTTACATTGTCCACAATCGGTTCTGTCACAACTAGAATGCGGTGCTGGCCCGTTCTGAACAGACAGTGCAATCGATGCGATACTTCGCCCACCGACTCATCCAACTCTGACGCTGCCGTCGGCTCCGCATGAAGAACCCCAGGGTCATCTGCGGCCGACAACCCATTCAATTCTGAAGCAGCCACCGCGCATTGATTGGACAATCCATGATCTTCGGCCAACAACTCATCCAACTCTGACATGCCACGCGAGTGTAGGGAATATCACTTGCAGCCCAAAGCGGGCATGGAGCGCGGCCTGATTCAAGACGCCCTCTGAATGCGACCCTCGCTCAAGATATCCTTTGCTATTGCGTCTGCCTCTCGCCCCCCCCCCCCGAAACCCGAAAGAACCCGAAAGAACCCCGAGAACGCCCTGAGTCCCCAAAGATCCTCGACATTCCAAAGCCATCGAAGCAGTCGCTTAATGAGAACGGGCGCGATGACAATATCAACGATGATACCGACGGGATCGCCGCAAGTGTTCCGCGGGAACGGCGTGGCGCCATGGACCTGCAACGAATAAAAAAACAGCGGCAGGGCGAAACAACAAAAACGGTTGCTTATGCAACAAAAGACGGCACGGGGCGGTCCCAGAGGTCCTGAGACAGCGCTTCGTTGGGCGGCCACCCGAGGTTTCAAAGCGATGGCTTTGCAGTTCGCAGCTGCAGGGGGACATGGCGCCCTGAACGCATGAATAACGCCCCCCGCCCCCCACATGAGGAACTTTTAGAACTGCAGGCGGAAACTGCTCGATGGTCAGCCAACGACAACGCCGCGCCAACGACAGGGCGCCTAGACTTACGCTCATTCGCCGGAAATGCAGATCGCTGCCATGAGAAATCCAAGGTTGTGGCGGAGGGGGAGGGGGAGGGGGAGGGGGAGGGGGAGGAGGAGGAGGAGGGAGGAGGAAGAGGAGGAGGAGGAGGAGGAGGAGGGAGGAGGAGGAGGAGGAGCAGGAGGAGGAGGAGGAGGAATAGGAGGAGCTGGAGGAGGAGGAGGAGAGGAGGATCAATAGGAGGAGGCGGAGGAGGAGGAGGAGGAGGAGGAGGAGGAGGAGGAGGAGGAGGAGGAGGAGGAGGAGGAGAGGAGGGAATAGGAGGAGGAGGGGGGAGGAGGAGGAGGAGGAGAGGAGGAGGAGGAGGAGGAGGAGGAGGAGGGAGGAGGGAGGAGGAGGAAGGGAGGAGGAGGAGGGGTCGGCCTCCCCACCGTGCAGCCTCACCGGCCTGGCGCGCCCCGGAGCTGGGCAGGCCGCGCAAGACCCGCGCGGGGCCCCGGCGCCCGACGGCTGTGGGGCGGGCGGCGAGAGAACCCCCGGGCCCCGGACGCCAGGTCGGGCGCCCGCTCCCCCTCCTCGTTCCTCCACCTCCTCCTCCGCCTCCCTTCTCCCTCCTCCCCTCCTCCGCCTCTCCTCCCTCCTCCTCCTCAAGCTCCTCCTATTCCTCCCCTCCTCCTCGTTCCTCACTCCTCCACCTCCCCTTCCTCCTCCTCCTCCTCCTCCCTCTCCCCTCCTCCTCCTCCTCCTCCTCCTCCTCGCTCCTCCTCCTCCTCCTCCTCCTCCTCCTCCTCCTCCTCCTCCTCCTCCTCGTTCTCCACCTCCTCCTCCTCTCCTCCTCCTCCGCCTCCTCCTCCGCCTCCTCCTCCTCCCGCTCCCTCCTCCGCCTCCTCCTCCTCGCCTCCTCCTCCTCCTCCTCCTCCTCCTCCTCCTCCTTCCTCCTCTCTCCTCTCCTCCTCCCCTCCTCCTCCTCCTCCTCCTCCTCCTCCTCCTCCTCCTCCTCCTCCTCCTCCTCCTCCTCCCCCCCACGGGGGGATTGGCGGCGCGCACGAGGGGGTGGAGAGAGGGGGGAGGGAAACAATTAGTGACCCCCCCCCCTGCCCCCCAAACTCAACATTGGCACGCGGGGGGGAGACTGCGGTCGAGGTGCAACTCATCGGACCCACCGCCAGCTTTGAACATTGGGGGAAGGGGGAGGCGTTCACAGATGAACGTGGCATGAGTGTTCGCTAATTCCCGGAAAGGGCATAGGCCCAGGGTTCTCTTTTAGTATGTAAACATGTCCCCGGTGCCCAACTTGAAGGAGGCCGGGGGATTCTTTCCCGGATAAATATCGAGGTCGAAGGAGGCCGGCGGATTAAACTTTGAGGATGTCTCAGGCGAAACGCTTGTTTTTGAAATCCCGATCGATAAATCACAGGGTGCGGGACACCTCAGCACGACCACACCCCCAGCATGACCACACCCCAGCACGACCACGCCCAGCACGACCACGCCCCAGCACGACCACACCCCAGCACGACCACACCCCAGCACGACCACACCCCAGCACGACCACACCCCAGCACGACCACACCCCAGCACCAGCACGACCACACCCCAGCACGACCCGATCGATAAATCACAGGGTGCGGACCACCCCAGCACGACCACACCCCAGCACGACCCCACCCCAGCACGACCCCACCCCAGCACGACCACGCCCCAGCACGACCACACCCCAGCACGACCACACCCCAGCACGACCACACCCCAGCACGACCCCACCCCAGCACGACCCACCCCACCCTAGCACGACCACACCCCAGCACGATCACACCCCAGAACGACCACACCCCAGCACGACCCCACCCAAGCACGACCCCACCCCAGCACGACACCCCAGCACGACCACACCCCAGCACGAGCCCCAGCACCCCACCCCAGCACGACCCCACCCCAGCAAGACCACACCCCAGCACGACCACACCCAGCACGACCTCACCACAGCACGACCACAGCACGACCACCCCAGCACGACCACGCCCCAGCACGACCACGCCCCAGCACGACCACGACCACCCCCAGCACGACCACCCCCCAGCACGACCACCCCCCAGCACGACCACACCCCAGCACGACCACTCCCCAGCACGACCACACCGCCTTGGTTGAGTGGTTGCCTGTCGTCGTGGAATGTTTCGTGGGGTGTCTCGTGGAATGTTTCGCGGGGTGTCTCGTGGAATGTTTCGTGAGGTGTCTCGTGGAATGTTTCGTGAGGTGTCTCGTGGGATGTTTCGTGAAGTGTCTCGTGGGATGTTTCGTGAGGTGTTGCCCAGTTGGGTATCGTGAAAACGTGTCCATGCTCCACATGTCTATATCCCTTTCCGGGTTCGTGGGTCCATCATGTTTTTTCCGAGGCCTGGAGGGGGGAGGGCTTCTTAGAAGAGACTGCTTCTTGGAGGGCGCCGGCCTGACCTCTCCAGACAGGGCCCGCGCCTTCCAAGAAGCAGGGGGCGCTTCTGAGAAGCCCTCCCCCCTGCCCCCACCCCCCTTCTGCGCGTGGCTGGGGGGATTTTGGAGGACACATGGAAAATGGCAAACCGATAGGCTCAAGAATTACCAGCAGGACTCGAAACGCGTCCCCCGGACATGCTCTGGGGGGCTTCTTCCCGGAAAGGGCGTGGGCCCAGGGTTCTCTTTCAGTCGCTTCCCCCCGGAATCGACGGCTGTAGAGCTGGCGGGATTATTTGGCGATTAATGGCGAGGTCGCCTGCGGCCGGCGGAATTATGTTTGAGGATGTCTCGAGCGAAACGCTTGTTCTTCAGGATTTCTTGAGGATGTCTCGAGCGAAAGGCTTGTTTGGTGTTATAGATTGTCCTCTCCTGGGGACCAGAATTCAGAGGATCTCTCAAGTGAAATGCTCGTTTTCCCGTGCCCAGGTCTTGAGGATGTCTCGAGCAAGACGCTTGGTTTCACGCCTCCAGGTTGCCCAGGCAGAGGTCTAGCGCCAGGATTTGTTGAGGATATCTTGAGCGAGACGTTTGGTTTCACGCGTCCTCGTCGCCCAGGCGGATGTCTAGCATGAGGATGTGTTGAGGAAGTCTCGACCGAGATGCTTGTTTGCACGTGTCCAGGTTGCCCAGGCGGATGCCTAGCATGAGGATGTGTTGAGAATGTCTCGAGAGATACGCTTGTTTTCACGTGCCCAGGTCGCCCAGGCGGATGTCTAACATGAAGATGTGTTGAGGATGTCTCGAGAGAGAGACGTGTGCTTTAACATGTACAGGTCGCCCAGGCGGATGTCTAGAATGAGGAGGTGTTGGAAACGTCTCGAGCGAAACGCTTGTTTTCACGTGCCCAGGTCACCCAGGCAGACGTCTCACATGAAGATGTGTTGAGGATGTCTCGAGCAAACCACTTGTTTTCACGTGTCCAGTTCGCCCAGGCGGATGTCTAGCATTAGAATGTGTTGAAGATGTGTTGAGCGAAGCGCTTGTTTTCACGTGTCCAGGTCGCTCAGGCGGATGTCTAGCATGAGGATTTTGACAGGATGATTCGAGCGAAACGCTTGTCCCCAGCACGTTCCGTAGCGCGCCCCCTTCGCACGTCCCGCGGTGCGACCCCATGGCACGTCCCCTGGAACGTCGCTTGGCCCGTCCCTTGGGACGTTCCGCGGCGCGCCCTCCTGGCATGTCCCCCTGTCAATTAGCTCTGG